AGATATAAAATATGTAAGAATAAAAATGTATAAAGAAATGTGATTAGTTCCTTGAGGGGTCATTTTTAGCCATGAGCAACAAGTCTCTGACTTTGCCCAAGGTTAACAAATTCCTCAGACACCAGGATTAAATCCTGGGTAAGTCCACGGGGTAAAAAGCAAGCCTCCCCAAGCTGTGTACCTGGGAAGCTGAGCCCCCTGCAGCCACAGCATGAAGACCCCCGGGGGCATGGCTGGACCCAGTCTCTGTCCCCAGATCGCTCTCTCCCTCCTGTCTCTCCCTCAAGAGCGGCCGCTGCCGCCTCTTTAGCTGCTGGGCCCTGTTCTGTCCTCTTGGTCCTCCCTGCTCACCCAGCAGCACGTGCCAATGAGAGGTTTGCGTGATCCGCCTTCTCCCCCTGCGCTTCCGTCAGGCAGACCTCAGCATCTTGAGTCTTTCTCTTGTGAAATGAAAGGCTGGTTCTTGGGCTAGAAGGTTTTCAGGAGGATCCTTCAGGAGGTTGGAGAGAAGGGCTGAGGAGCCCTGAAAGTCAAACCAATCAAGTGCTGTGGAGCAGTCCTTTTCAAGTAGAGATCATTCCAGGGATCTTGTCAACAAGGTCAGGGGTGGGGCCTGAGATTCTGCGTTTGTAACACGCTCCCAAGTGATGCTGACACCGCTGGCCCAGGGGCCTCGGGGAGGAGCAAGACTGCAGGCAGTCTTTCAGCTGCAAGTCTAAGGCCTGGAGGACGCTTGTTTAAAATGCAAGTTCCTGGCTGCACGCCGGGGGTCTGATCCACTGGGTCTGGAATTGGATCCAGGAATCTGAAGGGAAAGTCTCCTGGCTTGGAGGGAGAGGGGGAACTTTGAAAACGGTGGCTGAAGCTTTAAAACAACCCATCAGGTCCATATCACGCACTGATACTAGAAGACCTTAAGTAACCCAGAGATTCCACAGCCTCCAAGCGGGGAGCTGGGGTTCCCTGAGGTCCTTCAACCCTAAGCCGTACATTTTCTGCTTCACTTCACTGCCCCATTGTAATGTTTGTATCATCAAAATAATTAGTACTTCCTGTGCCTCCACTTGGCGAACATCTAAACCATGCATAATAGGATAAAATGTAGCTTTTTCAACCGTTGGCGACTCTGTTTTTCTTTGGTTCGGGTATATTAGGTGAAAAAGCTTATGTTTGCCTTTTCATTCATTCAACAAAGATTTGTTGAGCATCTACCCGTCAGTGCGCACAGTAAGTCCTTAGACTCTTCCCTGATAATAGCATTGGGCCATGTATATGCTTCTTCAGTTATCTTGGATTAGAGCCACCAGACCTCACAGCAATGCATACTGTAGCCTGAATGTCACTTTCTGGACTTGGAGCCAGCACATCCTTAAAGATTTCTCTTGTCTCTCAAAGTCGAATGTCACCCTGTTTCTCATAATCTTTCATTCACTCAACATTTATTGAGCACCTGCTATATGCTAGATGTCATCTAAGATGCTGAGGATATAGCAGAGACCGAGACAGACAGGAGTCCCTGCCTTCAAGCAGAATGCATTCAGGAGGGAGAAACAGCAGGCAAAGGAATGCAGTGTATGCGGTGCATCAGTGATATGCGCTTGGAGACAAATAAAGCAGGAGAGGAGACAGGCTGTTCCAGGAAGCAGGGAACTGGGGGGAGGCCGCAGTGAGGGGCTGGCATCTGAAGGAGGTCAGGGAGGAGGCATGTGGAAGTCTGGGGGGAGGCCCTCGGGGCAGAGGGAAGGAGAGGCTGAGGAGCAGCAGTGGGACAGAGAGCTGGAGCTGGGGGAGGGAGGGAGCTTGGACCGTAAATGAGGCCTGAGGGAGAATGGGCTGGTGGGATAAGAGCTTATAATGGGAGCTCTGGAGGGTTTTGGGCAGAAGCGGAAGGGATCTGACCCTGCGGGGAGGGTGATACAGAGAGGAAGCGGGGAAAGCAGCAGGAAGGCGATTGCAGAGACCCGGGGAAGACCTGGGAGCGGGCAGGGAAGATTTCAAGGAGTGGTCAGAGGACTGATGTATTCTGAAGGCAAAGCCAACAATATCTGCTGACAAGTTGGATGTGAAATGTAAGAGAAGAGAGGATGGGCGCCTGGAAGGTTGCCCTTGCCAATGATCTTCCGTCCCCAGGGCCAGTCCCGGCATCCAGCACCGTCCTGGGTCAAATCCTGGCCAAACCCAGCCTGTCTCCTCTGTGTCCTTCCCTTCCCTTCCTTTTGTGCTTTTTCTCCCCTCCAAACTCAGACTGGAGCTGAGAGCAGGGGCTTAGATGTCAGTTTAAATCTGGTTTATCAGTTTACCAGCTAGCTCATTTAACTCCATTAATGAGTCAATGTATGTAAAATGTCTGGTGCGTAGGATGCACTCAATAAATGGTAATTCTGCTCCTCTCTCTTCTATTAAGAGCTGATGAAATCATTCAGGGCAAAGTGTAATGACTAATTCCGTTAAGGTGGCATATTTGGGGGATGTATTGCATTTTAATGAGATGAGGAGTTTAAGGCGAAGGAATGAATCATTATTGCAGGTCATTGCTGAGTAAATCAGAGTGGGGTTGTTGTTAGCTGTTTTGTTTTGGAGGGGGCAAGAATTGATTTGTTTAGAGTTCAAAGTGTGAAAGCCTCCTGTCACCCTTGAAATGACCTTCAACATTCATGACAACAATATTGACCGAGTTTCTCCTTTGGATCAGGCCTTGAGGATACAAAGGAAAACAGACAGCTGTGGCGTTGCCTTTTCTGGGTTTATGTTCTAGCAGGACCCACGAGCATTAAACACGACACAAGAAGATGACATGCGTGTGGGCAGGGAAGTAGAGGGGAGGCTGCCTAACAGAAAGCAAGGGCTATTACGGCCTAAACCAGGCTCTCAATCCTGGTTTTTCTCAAAGTGATTGATTTAAAGTCCTGATACCTGGATCTCACTCCCAGAGATTCTGGGGTACCTCTAGGCATCAGGACTTTTTAAAGCTCCCCCAAAAGATTCTGATGGGCAGCCAGGGTGGGGAATTAATAGGAGTTAGCTAGATTCAGATGGGTTGATTGTCAGGTTGGGGAGGAACCAGAGTGAAACCTAAGGTTTAGAGGAAGTATGTGTCCCCTTCCAGAAACTGGAGGGATTTCCATGTACCTGGGACACAGCTGGGAAATGGGAAGAGTGGGAGATGAGATGGCGGGTGGGGGGGGACAGGTCCTTGAGGGCCACCTGAGAATTGCACACACACACCAGGAGGAGGCATCGAAGGGAGGAGGTGGCATTCTGGGGGCCTCGCTTGGGCTTTAGGTGGAGAACAGTTGGTGGGAAGCAGAATCATAGTCCAGGAAACCAGTTGGGGGCTGTTTTAGAGTCACTTTGGTGGGGGGATGTAATTAAGTTTATTTATAAATTTTTTAAATGGAGGTATTGGGGATTGAACCCAGGACCTCGTGCATGCTAAGCATACGCTCTACCACTGAGCTACACTCACCTAGAGTCACTTTTGAGAATTGACTGACAGTGGCCAGGACGAGGGGTTCACAGTGGGGGTGATGAGAAGAAACAGACATGCGGGAGCTGTCTGGAGGACAGGGCCAGCTCTGCTCAGTAATGGACTGCATAAGGGGAGGGGCATCAAGGGTGGCACAGACCTTCCAGCCTTGGGTTGGCTGTTTGTTTCAGACCAAGCTGCCACGGACTGAGGACTGGAGGTGTAGACTCAGAATCAAGAGGATTGGAGAATGCATGTAAGAAGTCTGGCCAAGAGGAAAGTAGCCGATGCATGGAGAACGGTGCCTGTAACTGAAATAGGAAACGAGGGAGGAGAGACAGAAGTGGGACTAGGGGCTCAGCTGGGGACCTGTCGGGGTTTGGTGTCTCCAAGATGCCCAGGAGGGTGGAGTGACTAGGAACGCAGGGTCCTGGCTCTGCCACTTACCAGCTATGAACTGTTAGTCGTGTTGCTTTACTTTCATGTCACTGCTAGGACCACATAAGATAATGCCTGCAAAGTGCTTGGCACTGCCTCAGGCACCTGATAGCAGCTCAGTGCGTGTGGCTCCTGCTGTTACCGAGTGAAGACCTGCTGGGTGTGTCTGGAGCCCAGGAATGGGCTGTGGCTGGAGGTACAGATGTGGGCATTGTGGGCTATGGGAGGGAATAAGATCACCCAGAGCACAGTGACAAGACTGGAGGACCCAGGATCTA